ATTACGTAGAGGTCTCTCCAGAACAGTGCAAAGGCAAGAGTTAGGGTTTGAAAATTACTTCCGAAGCATGAGGGATTTTCAGAAAAGTTTCCTCATCTATTTTTGCGCTGTTGCAGGTCAGTTATCAAGAAGGACACATGTACCCAAACAGGACCTTCTGTGCCTGCTACTTCCCTCAGGGGCAGGAGGGCAGGAGCAGTGAGGAGATATGCGGCTCTGCTCCAAATATGCCCCAGTGGACGAAGTTTCTCTTCAGAGGGTAATTTTGGGGGTACTGAAGGATGGGGTGGAGGAGGGGTTGTAGCTGTTGACTAGGGGGTTGAGGCCCGGAGACTCTGAGACCCACTAGCCTCCCCCTGAGAGACAGGTGGGAAACTTAAGAGGGAGTCATCTCGAATATCATTGCTAGCTTCCAAAAGAGCTGCCTCCTTCAGAGCAGAGAGGTGAATTTTGACAGTGCCATAAAGGCTTCAAAGTAGAGGACCTCTGACCACTTGCCTAACCTCCGACAGAAGAGTCTAACTGGAGTACGGTGTTGTAATTGCTGCTCCCATTTTGACCCCATATTTCCCCACCTCCCAGCTTATACTAAAGCCAGGCTGTATTACAAAAGAAAATTATCCTCTTTTTCTTGAGATTTTCAGGGTCAAATTTATCCCAATTTCTAAGAATGCATCCCAACAGGAATCCTGTGAAGATAGAGGGAGTATTTCTCATCTTGTCTGTGATGTATTTAGGAAAAGGAAAAAAAAAAAAAAAAGAGTGGAACTCCCTGGCTCCCTAGAAGCGTCCTCCTTCATTTGCCCAAGCAGTTTTCTAGTGGGTTACAGGGAGTCCCCCATCCCACCATTCTAAGCTACCAGAAGTCTCTGGCGATACAAAGCCTTGGGTGTGCTGGTCAGCAGAAGACTAAGACTAAAACTGACCACGGACTAATCGTATCCCCTTTGCAGATAGCGAAGCTGAAGGCTTCGATTAAACTGGATGCCCTCAGCAAATCTCCAAGTTTTTACATATTTCACCCCAGAGAGGAGCTGGAGAGATGTATCCAAATGACCGGTACATTTCCCAGAAAGACTGGAGGCCAATATAATATTGCTCAACCTGATGAGACAGATCTCAACGGTGGCAAATTTGCCACCTATGTGTCCCTAGTTCACTCTGGTCTTGGGGGTGTACAGACTAAAACATAGAAGGTGCCTAAAGAGGAGAGGTAAGCCTGTCTCTGTAAAATACCAAGGGGAAGTGACTGACCTGAATCAATTTCCTTTGTTCTTCGTGAGCATGAAGGGGGCAGGATCATTCTACCTTATCTATTCTCTCTGGGTATTTCACAAACCTGACCTGAGTTGTAAAGCTCCCTGGGAGGACTCTCAGGAGGTATAAATAAAAGGACCCCTATTCATATTTAAGGTGGATTATGGAGGGTTGATCTAGGACTTGAATGGGGTGACTAAGGGTGGCTTGAAGGAGTCAAGTGAACAGTCGCAAGGTCTTAGACTCAATGTGGTGAACCAGCAAGAGGCGCAGCCGCCTTTGACAGCAGAGGACTATGAGGTATCTATTGATGGCCTCTGGCGAGTGGCACCACAGGCAATGATGATATGAACAAGAGGGGAGGTAATGCCTCTTCTACTCTGGGATAGCAGCTATAAAAGGGACCCTCCGTCTGTAATCTCTGCCTACCCTCAGAACAAAGGCAGCACTCACCACATCTGCAGATCCAGCAGGAAGGAGAAAACTGTAAGGAGAGCGGCCAGAATTTCGCAGAAGCAAGACAACAGCGTAGTGGTGGGTTTGTGAGAAAGGCTGACAATGCAAGGTGGGGCACAGTGAACAGATGCCTTTGGGAGTTACGCCCAGTGGCCCCTTCTAAGAGTTGAGAGTCGAAGAGATACCTAGAGGGGAAACAGTGCAGGGAAGAAACAATGCTGTTTTTCTGTGTTGTCTCGGGACATGGATGTTGTCTTGTGCCAGGCAGGGAACCTAATGCTTCTCCCCAATCCCCGACCAAGTAATCCTTACACGGGAGTCTTTTAAACAGCAGGCACCCTATAGGCTCTGAACTGCCCAACCCATGCCCACCCAAAAGCAGTAAACTCTCCTCAAGGGGCCGGGGGTGCCTGAGGCATTGGAAATGAAACAGAAAGCAGGCAGAGAAAGTCTTCTAAGCATGGGGACAGAGGGGTTGTCTTACCATCCCAGCGCTTCCAGAGACGATTCCCCTGGCCAAATGCTGCAGGTGGAAATAGGGTCCAGGTTGTTAGTAGTGCTCACAAACAAAGGGTTGAATGGACTACACAGAGTTAAGTGAAGCAGGTGAGATTAAGAAAAGTACACTTCCCAACACACAGGAGTAGGCCACCTCTAACCCGAGTCCCCCCTTCTGCCAAGAGGGTGCAGGCTTTAAAGTGGATTGGTTTCTTTCCTGAATTCGTTTCGTTTGGTGGGCTTTTTGCGGTACACGCACAAGTGGTTATGTAACTTTTAAGCTTCTTTGCATGCAAGACCCCACAATGATTCTTGATCGCCCACTCGGGGGGTCAAACCCAGTGCTAACTTATTAAAATAGCATGATTATGAAGCAGAGGTGAAACAGTGGTCAACTACAGCTACGGTGCCCAGGAGAGGCCCCTTGCTAGGTGTTACAAGCCTTTCTTAGTAACCAGAATGCTGGACGCTGGCTGACAGCCTGGCGCCTCAGGGCTCCTGCCTCAGGGAGACAGGCAAGAACGTGAAGAAATAAAATGTATGACTACTGTTTATTGAGTACTTACCATGGCCTATGCACTAAGCACATTTTACCCATCTGATCTCATTTAAAACTCACAACCATTCTATAAAGCAGGAATCACTCCCCCAAGTTTATAGGCTCCGAAAGGTTAAGTAACTTTTCCAAGATCAAACAGCTGAGAAGGAAACCCAGGTCTAGTGGCAATGCCCAACTGTTACTTAATACTAATTTCTCTTCTTTATTCCACGTTTGACTAAATTTCTTAAGTTGCAGTTAAATATAATTTACTTCCTATCTTAGTGAACAGGGTAGGTCAAAACATGTTTGAATCTCAAGGGCCCAGATCTCCCAGGCCTCAGGGCCTACCACACAGACCAACCGGGGGCAGCAGACACACAGAGGAAAACAATCCTAAATGGTCTTTGTTTTAAGGAACCCAAGCCATTATCTTACTGCATGGTTTACCTCTTTTCTTAAAATTCACACAAATGTGGTTAAAGCCCAAATGACTAATTTCTTTGATCCAGTAATTTTATAAAAACCAGTGAGAGACTGATAATCTAATTTTTAATGGGCTAAGAATATTAATAGGTAGCTCATAGAAAAGGAAATACAAATGGCCCAAATTTTTTTTATATATTCTGTTACTGAACTGGGGACCTGAGCAGGTCTGCCCAGGGCCAGCTGGTAGTGTGTGGGTTATTGACGTTGTATAGGAAAGATCCCACCAGTCTAGGTGACTACGAAGGTATGTTTATTAAAGTTAGAAATAGTGAGACAAGAAAGGGCCTAGGGTAGAAGCAGCAACAAAAGCGATCCTAGGCTGGACTGCCTTAACTCACTGGGAAGTCAGAGAAGAGGGGGCCTAGGGGGCAGACAGACTCATGGGGTTAGCCTGGGATGAGCTACCTCTGCACATTGAGTTTAGGAGATGTGTGCCTGTTGGGGAAGAAGAGAGGGAGAAGGCAATGGCTCCAGCTGCTCCCCCGAGGGAGAGCCATGCTGAGTCCTTTGTCTTGAGGCTTTTCTCTCTCTCTTACAGGCAGGAATTCTAGGGAAGGTCTCAGCAGAACATTCATGTTTTCCAGGTGGGCCCTTTCAGGGTCAAGGCCTCCCCTGACTGGTTGGCGCCAGGGCAGGGGGTCATTAGTCACGGCAGCCAGTCCTGGCATCGCTCAGCTGGTTTTGCTTTTCTGAGCCCGAAGCGGAAATAAAACTGAGGCCTAGATGTTATCTCCAGGGTGGCCTTCTGCATCTGGCTATAAAATGCTTAGCCATTTTGTTCAGCTGTTTCCCTGTTCCACTTCTTGGCTTTCTACTTCCCTCCCTCCCTTCCTCCCCTCCTTCCTTCCTTCCCTTCCTTCCTTCAAGAAATGCAAATTAAAGCTAGAAAGACACCACTTTCCACTTGTCAGACTAAAACCGGAAAGCTCCATGAAACATAGAAAGCTCTCACATACCAGTGGCTGTGACAACTACACCAGCCTCTGCTCAGGAGAGCAATTCAGCAAGATCCGTCATTACCGTACATGCTCTGACTCAGGAGTCTCACTTCTGGGAACTCATTCTTCAGTTGCTAGTGAAAAATAACCCACATGCGCCACTTATTGCAGCAGTGGTTGCAACTGCAAAGGATTAGAAGAAACCAAAATATCCCTTCATCAAAAGAGGCCTGGTTAAATAGATTATGGTACATCCATAGATGCATGTAACCTGAAACAAGAGCGGGGAAGCTCTTTTGGTGGCTAGGGAACACTTCAAAATACTCTAAGGGAAAAAAAAAACAAGGCACACATGAGAAACTGATGATAAAGTCAGCCTCTGGGGAGGGGAAGTGGGCAGCTGGGATGGGAGACCACACTGCATATTCTTTAGTACCTTTTGAATTTTGAGCCATGTGAAATATCAGTTATTCAGAAAAACAAAGTTAAAATACTTAAAGGTACCGAAACCTTCCTTGTTACTGAAGTTTCTGGCTTAGCTCCAGCTGACTGAGTTACTGCACTCTCTCCTACAGGACACCCTGCCACACATAGCACTCTAGGGCAAAAACACGGGGGTTGTGAGCCAGTGACTACATCTGGCAGGGCCTCTGTCCCTCGGCCAGTCCAGGAAGGGGCGCAACCCTTAGGCTGACCAGTCTGCACTTTCTCACTCTGTCCACAGGTGGGGCTATGAGGCCTGCTGCTCTGGACAGATGGCGGTGGCCCAGGGGAGCACGCCGGCCGCTGACCAACAGGCAAAGACACAGACAGGGACAAATGAATAACATAAAATAGAAACTAATTTTATTTCTCTGAAAGAAGCAAATATCCATAGCTGGGGCAGCAACTTTGGCGACAGAGGCTGGTCGGAAAACAAGGAACAGAACAGGGGAAGAGCTGGGTCAGAGGAAGCACTAGTATCTCTCCAGGGCAGCTATCCCCTTGGTCTCCTCCCAACCCTGGGGCCTTGGGCCCTGGTCCCAGCCAAAGAACTCTCTGGCACCAATGCTCTGCTTCCTTAGCCACCTCAGGCTATTTCCAGGCACAAGGTCTTAAGACCAACCACGTCCCAAACCACTGTCCATGGTGAGGCCACCAGTCACATTCTGTTCAACACCCAAATGCCTGCCAGGGGCTCCCTGGAGAAGGGCCAGCCCTGTGCCAGTCCACCTTTTGGTGTGGCCAACACATCCTCCTGGCCCACGGTAAAACCTGGGCTTTCCTGTTGGAAGGACATGGGGACACACTCCAGCCACAGGCCCTACCAGGCCGGATGAATCCGGAGGCAGGTCAGCCACGGGGCCTGCTGAGGCCACCCCAGGCCTGCCTTCACGGGGCAGCTTCCTGCACCCAGGCTTAGGGCACCATGGGCTGAACTGAAGTTGCAGGGTTGGCGCTGGGTGAGGAAGGGACAGGCAAGGCAGGGCTCCCCCAAGCCTCCTGTTTGCCTTGGCCTCGCCCTGCCAGTAGGAGCAGCTGGCGGCAGCAGGTCCTCCAGGCCTGGGATGGGCGTCTTCCCACCCTGTCAGATGGACAGGCTCAAGGGATTCCTTCGGGGCAGACCCTCTGGCTCTCCAGACATCTCAGCGCCTAAAGCGGGGGAAACAGCCAGAAAACCTTTCCATCAACAGGGGCTGATGCAAGCGTATGGAATGTCCGGTGTGGAAGGGCCTCTCTGTGACGGGCAAACTGGTTAAAAACTGGTAGTTCCAGGCAATGATTTTGGAACCTATCACCCTGGGATGCCTTTTTTCTTTAAGAATTAAAAGTAAAAGACCAGCAGGATTGTGTATTAGAGTATTCAAGGGTGACAGGCTAGTAAAGCCTAAGTTTATTTTGATGCAAATTAGTAAGAACGTACCAATGATGTATGTGCCAGACACTTGCTGTGAAGTGTGACAGACGCATCCCTCACTAATTCTTCTAATCTATGAGGTAGGCACTGTCATTCACACACGTTTTACAGACCAGGCCCCTGAGGGACCAGGACACGCGCTGACACTGTGCCTGAGTGGGCACTGGGCTCCAGCTCAACTGCTGCTGCGGCCCAGCTGCTCTGAGACCCCAAGTCCCACCAGCACCTCCCAGAGCGCTGGAGCTCACCCATCTCGCCACTTTTTTTTGACTTGATAAAACTTTCATAAACGTATTTATACTATGTATCACTGTATCTTATTTATGTAACTGTTATTGTGTGATATGCACAAGTAGGTTTACATTTTTTGTAGGAAAGTAATGAATTTTTTTGGTTAGACATTCCTTTAAAAAGACATTAAAACTTAAGTGTTACTTTAAACTAAACTATGAAACGTAGAGGTGACAAGTATTTATTTAGGGCTATGTATTTTTATTGACTTTAGAGACCAAAAGGAAAGGGGGAGAGAGAGGGAGATCTGTTCCACTTACTGACGCATTCATTGGTTGATTCTTACATGTGCCCTGACTGGGGATCAAACGCAAAACCTTGGCCTATCAGGACCATGCGGTAACCAACTGAGCTACCTGACCAGGGCAGAAGTATTTATTTAAATCTCTGGGTCCTAAACCGCTGCCCCCTGGAAGCTGCTCAGGGTACTGTGGGGGGAGCTAGGGAAACAAGGCGATGTCACCACAGAGGCTCCAACTGCCTCTTTTACTCATTAGTTCCATTTGAAGCACGTGGCTAAAAGTCTAAATAAACACAGTTAAGGAGAAACTTGTTTTCACCCCGCACTGTCCTTGCCCCTTCTCCCAGCTGGGGAGCCCTGTGTCTCTTAGTTGTGTGAGACCTGAGGAGGTGCTGGGCTTCTCCCTAGAATGGTGTGCTCCAGGACACGCCTTGGGTACAGGGAGATGACAGGGGGTGGGGCTCACTCACTTGTGGTGGACAGGACCACAGGAGCCCAACAGGTGGCAGCCGGCTTGCTCCAGATTCCAGTCAAACATCTCCAGCACTTTGTGGCACTCGCCTCGTGGCCGCAGACCCAACCCAAAGAGCTGCTCCACCTGAGGAGCAGAGGGTGGTGCCATGGGACGCACAGGGGCCACAGGGCACCAACCAAGAATGGGGGCAAAGGAGAACCAGAGAGGGGGAAGGAGTGGGAGAGAGCAGCGAAACCAGTTTTCAGGGCTCCTGCAAACCAGAGTGGGCAGCACGCGGTGGTACCTTCAGATACTGGGCAGCCCTCTGCACGTTCCAGCTGTGGCTCTGCAGGGCCGCCTGGCACTCCTCCGTGGTCACCCCGTGCACCATGGCCTGCAGCTGGGCATACCCACCCCCCCAGTCAGCACCAAGGGCCCATTCCTCAGGGGTCCTCAGGCGCCCGCCCCTCGTCTCCCGACAGCCAGGCCTGGTACTTACCACCTGGACCTTATCTGTTGGCCGTCCAGCCTCTGGCCCATCCCCAGGGTAGCCCCTCTGTGGCAGCCGAGCAGTAGCCCTCAAGGCTGGTGGCCGGACCCCTGGATTGCTGTTGTTGGTGGAGAAGTTGGCCTTGGGGTCTGGGGCAGCCTGGGGCATGGGTCGAACAGTGGCAGTGGGGGCGGCAGGGGCTGGGGTGCTGGGTGGGGGCAGCAAGGGCACAGGCCAGGGGGCTGGCTCTTCGGGGCTCTGCGCCTCACGCAGGAAGCGCTGGTAGCGCTCCAGATAGGGTGGGCGCTCAGGCAGCAGGTAGTAGTGGGTGCTGCTGACCTTCTTGCCATCTCGGACGATGGGCAGGATGCAGGGACCAGCCCGTGGGCCAGGTGCCTGGATCACCTGTGGTGTGGCATACTTGGGGTCTGAGGCAAAGCTTTGGGTGGTGGGCATGGTCTTCCCGGGTGAACTTGAGAGCCGAGGTGGCAATGGGGAGCTATCACGGGGCACCAGGGGGCTGGGAGTCCTTGACCCTTGAGGGGACAGGGGCTCCCGGGGAGGCACCCGGGGAGGGGAGGCAGGTCCAGGCCACCTCCCCATCTCCTCCTCGCCTGAGGGGGCTGGAGACAGCTCACCACGTGGGCGCGTGGGCCTCGGGGGGATGGGCACCCGGGGGGGCACCTGGGGCTTGTCATCACCCACTGGGCTGGGTGAGGGGACCACTGAGCCAGCTGGGACCTGCAGCTGCCGCATGCATTCCTGCTGCAGCGCCTGGAAGATCTCTGCCGTCTGGGCCAAACTGGGGGGCTTGATCCCACCCTGGGGCGGGAGGAACAGGTTGTCCTCCAGGGGAGGGAGGAGCCGCGCCTGCTCAGGCACAAAAGCGTAATTGGTCTCGCCCTGGCTGGGCCCAGCAGAGACCCCTGCGCCCACCAGGGTGCTGTTGATAGAGCAGACCTCAAAGTCATCCTCATCTTGGGCCACATCGTCGTAGGCGGGAGGTGGCGGCAGTGGGCATGCGTCCCAGTCCACCACAGGTGTGGGGTGCAGGGGCCGGGGCAGTGCCCGCGTGGGGCTCTGTGGCGGGGTCTTGTCCAACAAGGAGCAGGCATCCATGGCCAACTGCGCCAGTGAGGGTGCGCAGGGCCGTGGGGAGGGGACCACAGGCTCCTCACTGAAGTCAATGAGTGTGACCTCACCGCCGCTGCCACCACGGCCTGTCTTGGTGCCTGACACCCGGGCTGAGGGCTTCGCCGGCCACAGCCCACGGGGCAGGCTCGGCTTCCTCAGGCCCAGCTTCTTGAAGTCGCTGGATAGGGGCTCTTGGTCCTCGCTCACAGGGTCATAGGTTGGTTCTGCAATGGAAGGGAGACCCGCACAGGGAGGCAGTGTCAGGCATGGGGACAGAAAGGTGGGGTTAGGAAGAAAGCCAAGTGTCTCCCACCAACTCCCCAAGGGATCAGCCCTCAGCTACTAAATTCTCAGCGCACAGCGACCCCGTTCAAACAGGAAGGCATAGTCTTCTCTGGGTGCTGCCAGCCTTCTACGTGGGTGGGTGAGTCCCAGACTCCATCTCAGCTCAAGCAAGTGACACCCACATTCGCCTACTTCTGACGCCCCTCCATCAACACAAGACCCCAACTGCCCCTGCGCCTGGATAGTAACCCCTATCCCCACCCCATAACAGCACATGATTAGTGCAGGTAGGGGGCTATAGGCAACTCCCCACCATCAAGAGCCACAGGAGCTCCTGACCCACCATCATGAAACCCTAGCCTCCGTACGCCCCGAAGAGAGTGAGACAAGCCCAGCGATGGTGGAGGGGGCAGAAGCCCAGAGACGTTTGGTAGCGGGCAGCGGGGCTCGAAAGGAGAGGAAGGCGTGCTGGGCCAGGTCAGCAGCAAAAGCTCACTACCCCCCACCCAGGGAGCCACCAGGGCTCTGTACCTTCCAGGAGAGGAGGAATGAGAGGAGAGAGGGAGCGGGGGCGGGGGCCAAGGCACCGAGGGCAGGCCCACTTACTCTGAGTGAAGATGGCAGGTTGAGGTGGGCGAGGTGGAGGCTCCCCTGCAGGAAGGGCCGTGCAGAGAGTAGAGGGGATCAGAGCAAAACAGAGAGAGGACAGGGGAGGCAGGCAGAGCCAGACAGAGGGCAGAGTGTGGATAAAGAGAGACAGAGACAGAGACAGAGAGAGTGCACAGTGAATAAGGGCGAGTGAACATACAAACCCAGGAGCAATGGGAAGCAATGGGGCAGGAGGATGGGGAAAACCATGTTCCGGAATGACAGGCCCAGGATCCAGGGGGTGGATGAGGCTCCTGGCCAAGATGAGGCCTGTGGGGTGGTTTTGGCTTGGGAGAGAAGAGCAGGATTAGAGTGGGTGAGGAAGGCCAGGTTCTGAGCACGGCAGGGAGGAGGAGGGTGGAGAGAGCTCAGGCAGGCCAGTGAAGGGCCAACCCAAGATACCCACCTCGGCGGATACAGCTGCCTCTCATCTTCCACCCCACACCCAGCAGGAGCCTGACCCAACTGTCCCCCTGCTGTCCTGGCCCAACCATCACAGAGCCGGAGCAGCTGGCTCAGGGCTGGCCTGAGAAGACGGCGCCCCTGGCCAGCCAATGAACTAGAGGTTGCCAGGGAGTTGGGGGGCTCTTACTTTTCACCCTTCCCAGATGCTGGGTGGGACGGGAGGCGCTCAGTTCCACGCTCAGCAGATCGGGAGGGTCCATAGGATTTCCCAGGTACAGTCTGTGGGGAGAGAACCAGTGTGGAGTGGGGGCAGTGAGGAGACCTCTGGAGATGCTGGGCCTGTTCTCTGGGGTCAGGTGTCCGGGGGACCACCTTGTCCAAGCCCCCTACCGCCTGAAGCACAAGACTTCTGACTCCTTGCAGCTGCCTCCTGCAGAGCTAAGTTGTAACCAGGGGAGGGCACTGTGGGGAGTAGGCAAAGGAAGGACTCCTGGCTGCGAAGCCAAGGCCTAGGACTGTAGGGGCTCCAAGAACACCCTACAAAGGCAGAGCTGGTCCTCTGCAACCCCCACGATGCCCCAACCCACGCCCGGCAGCCACCTGCTGGCACTCTCTCTCCTCTCCTGCCAGGCCCAGAGGCATCCGGCTATACTCCCCGGTAGGGTGGGCAGGAGACATCCTTCTGCCCCACTGCCAGGGGTGGGGCCACCTGCCCTGCTCTCAGTTCCCCTTCAACCCTTGTGCCGACTGTCAGGATCTGGGACTTAGTCACTGGGGCTGATTAGAGCCAGGAGGAATGGGGCTGGGCTGGCCCCGGCATGCCAGGAGCAGGGCAGAGGGCGCCCAGCCTCCTTCTGGAGGATGTCTGTGCTCTGCTGCCCCAACTCTCTCAGGCCCTCACCTGGCTCTTGTGCACAAAAGACACACACGGGCTGCCCTCCCAGGGTTTAGTGCTCTGGTGTGTGGGAGCATGGGAGGGAGGTGAAGGACCCGCTTCACCATGTCCTTCAGGACAGAACCGTGTCGGGTCTGAGGAGCAAGGGCTGCCGAGAGCAGGGGCCTGAAGCCCCTAGGGCCAGCAGAGAGGCATGGAAGCCTGGCCTGAGGAGCTTCCAGATGGAACCCTGGGGCGGTACATCCAGAAAGTGACAGTCTTCTCTGTGTCCTCCTCAGATGCCTCCCAGTGACCTCATCCTTCACTTAAAGGAGACTGAGCACTGCCCCCGCCCCACCCCCGCCACCCCGGCCACTCCGGCCAACCCCGCCAACCCTGGCCAACCCCGCCAACCCTGGTACAGAGTGAGAGGTAGGCAAAGCTCTGAGCTGCTGCTTAACATTAGCGCTGAAGTTTAGCTCTCTTGGGATCTTGTACCCCTGAGCCTGACCCAGTAGGTTCCCATCTCCTGGGCTCACTATTACCAGCAAGAGAAGGGAAACCGCTACTCAAATGTCAGTGGCCATAAGAAATGCTTTCCTAATGAACTGCTTCCAAAGGCTGTTGTCCAGCCCATTTTCTTACGGCCAGCGTGCTGGGGTTAATGCTGTAGCCCCTGTGGGTCTTTCCACCAAATGGAAGTGTAGGTCTCTCCTTTGAAGCTCCCAGCCTGCTTCTGCCTACAGGGAAAAGCTGCTGGGCAATGAGAGACCCCCTGCCCCATGGTTGTAACAGGGACCTTGGAAGCCGGAAAGAACCTGCGTGCTCAGGGAGGGGCTGCTGGCCCCGGAGCCCCAGGTGGGGCCCAGCCCAGTACTCACTCATCAATCTTGTCGGGGAAGCCCCAGCAGTGGCGGGGGTCACTGTCGCCATGCCCCGTGTGAATGAAGCTATTCTGCAGAGGCTGGCTGATGTCCTGGGCTGACAGGCCAGCCACAGAGGTCACCACATTTCGAGGAAAGGGCCCCACACACAGCGTCCGCGTGTTCTGCCCACGCCACCAGTAATTCTCAGCCCTGCTCAACAGAGATGACATGGTAAACACCAGGGTGTGGTGGGGCTGCCCTGCGGAGCAGGACTCTTCCCATACCAAGATCTTTGGCTACGATGTCTAACTACCTCGGCGGAAGGAAACAGGAAGACTAAGGCCCCGAGGTCAGGATGGTCTGCCATCAGCTTGCCCCTCCCAGCAGCGCCCCCATGACTATTCCCCCAGCACAGGGCCCAGCTATTTGCGTACAGCTACGTAGGTGGGTTGGGCAGCTTTTCCTAAAGTTTACAATAACGAAACAGGTTCAAACAAGTGAGGTGACTTGCTTACAGTTACCAGAAAGATCACAGAAGACCCAGGATTCAAAGCTAGTTGTTAGCCTATAAAGCCAGTGCCCTTCTCGCAGTATCACCTCGTCTCCCTGGCAAAGCCTGGGCCCCAGTCCTTTCCTGGCCACCTGATCGCACTCTTCAGCCCAGTTCCAAGAGTTCTGCACTTCAAGGGCCCAAGGAAGCACTACGGCCTTAGCACTGGGCTCGAGACCAAGCCCTCCAATCACAACCCATCTCCCACATGCACTCTCCACACGTCTGGAAGCACTTGGGGCAACCCACGACTTCACATCACCGGTTTCTGTACCTCCGGTGTCTTCCACCTGGCAGGGCCGTGGGACCCTCGCCCTTGTGCCATCCACCTCCTTGGGAGGAGCTCGACTCCTGCCTTAAACAAGGCATCCGGAAGGGAACACAGCCTCCCAGTGTGGCTGGGCCACCTGTACCTCAACCTGACCTCAGACACAAAACCTGTTAGGCAGCCTAAGACCCCGGGGGTGGGGGTGGGGGAAGAAGCAAGAGAGCAAAAAGAACAGGGCACCCTCCTGGACCCTTCAAACGCCAATAGCCCATGAGGCTCCTGTATCTGCTGCTGGGATCACTCACCCTGACAACGTGGGCAGAATCTGAGCTAAGGCAGAGGAGGTGACAGCGGCATGCTGCTGTGGTGGACACGTGTGACACCAAGCAGCATGTTCCCACTGTCAGTCCCCGACCTGCACGTCTCCTGTCCACGGCCAGGAGTGTAAAGAAAGGTCTCCTCCAAACTGCAGCTGGACTGGGGGTGTTGGAGGCTGAGAGGAGGCGGTGAGGTTGAGCACCTGGACGCTCTGATAGGGGGTGAAGCAACCCACCGGGGCAGTGTGAGCCCCGAACAGCCTTTTCTAGATACCAGAAGTCGAATCCCATGAGCACAGCAGTCCCTGGGAATCCTAGAGGCGAGTTAAAGAAGGAATAAGAACCCAGCCTCCTTATAAACAAGGCCGCTGACTGGCCCACCACAGACACAGCAACACTGTGATTACTATCCTCTGGGCGGGAAGGGCAGAAAAGGAAGGAAGAAGTGAGGACAACAACCCAGGAAGGGACAAAGCCCATCTGAAAACAGCAGGGCTATTCCAAGGAGAAAAGTGCTCCTCCAGCCCCACCACAGGGCCGGCTGAGGTGACGGGCCACTGTGAGGCGATTGGAGAGGCACGTCTGGCACTGGGGACCCTGCTGCTGTTGTTCCCCAACATTCACTGGCTCCCTGGGTTCTTTGTGCCCCACCACAGGACTGTCTCAGACACCAACCCCAGGCCTGCATGCTGGACTCTGCTCCCTACACCTCCTCAGAGGTGCTCATTAACTCGGGTGAGAAACAGCTGAGGCGGAGATGCAGCGCAGAGTAGAATAGACTCATATCCAAGGCCATGACCATGCCCTCCCTGGGTGGGCTCTAAGCAAAGCCGGACCGGCAGGAGGTCACTCTCTCCACTCCTCTCCTTTTGCCAACACAGCCAAGCTCCTTCCACAGGATCCCCACTTGGACTCAAATCTGAAAGCAAGAGAGGACACCAAACCCACCTCCCTTCATCGCAGGTATGCTGGGGGTTCTGACACCACTCGTCAAAAACACCTTGCTCCTTGGGAGGGGCAGTCAGAGCGTAGAGCATGTGTGAGAAAGAAGCCCCTCGGGAATCGCACCCCATGCGCATCGGCCCTACACAGCTCAAGTGTAACTCCTGCTGAGAGCCAGTGAGTTGGCCAATGCTGCAGCGCACTGCCCTCTGAGGCTCAAGGTGGCTGAGGTACCAGCAGCCCAGAGAGGACCAAGCCTGGTCCTTCCCAACAGCAAGCTCTGGCCACACCCTCCCTTCCCCCTGCACCAACAGGCCGGAGTCTCCACAGCAACAACCCAAGGGCCAGGCCCACCATGCCATACGGCAGTCACTGTAGCAGAGACGGACACAGACACACGGGGGAGTCCCTAGGAGGGTGAGGAAAGGGCCCAGTACCTCCAGCAAGAATCTTCTACTTCCTGCTTCCTGTCAGCCTCCTGGGACAAGCAAAATGTGAAGCAGCAACTGGAAACCAAGGACTGGGCTGAGAACTGCCTAAGGTAGCCTTAGCTCCACTGGGAGCCAGCCTCTGAAATCACAGCCCCTTGTCCCTGTTCTGGCCTCAAGTGGCCCAGAAATGGCTGACAGATGTTGTTTAAACATTCTGCTCAAAACACCGCCCCACCCACTTTTTCCTGGGTGTCCCAAGAGCCCCTGGCCTTGAGGAACAACACAGACCCTTGCTTCCCCCTGCCCCCCCTACTGCAAGAATCAGAGGCCCCAGGGACCAGGTCAGGCCAAGGACCTGCACAAGGATTTCAGAACCTCTGTCCCCCTTCTCCAATTCTGCAAACACAGAACACAAAAGTGCTGTCAGCCACCTCAGCCTCCAGGTAAGATCCCCTGGAAAAGAACAGTCACCGTCTGTCCAAGTCTAGACTAAGCCTCCCAAGTGTGGCTGACAGAACATCAAGGTGTCTTTCTGTCTACTGCCCAGTACCCCGAGAAGCACTGAAACTACAGAATCAGTCAGAGCTGAGGCAAGAGGGTTCCTAGACTCTGGACTAGGAAGCAAATACCGGAAACAGCTTCCATCAGATGTAATCCAAGACTCACAGAAGAGGGCAGATAGGGAGAGAGCCAAGAGCCAGGCCAAGAGGAGACGGAGAAACAGCCAGCAACCCACACATACAATCGCAGACCCAAAGAACACACATGAACAGAGGGCCCATCCACCCAGATACATGGAGATAAAGCCAGACAAACAAACAGAGACATTTAGGCACTGAGAAAACCAGGGGGCAGAGTTAAAACTCTGGTACCACTGACACACAGGACCGCCCCCAAAGCCCACCACCTGCCATGGCCTCCTGTCCCTCACCTCCCACCTCCTGAGAAGCTCCAGGGACTGTGGTCCAAGTCAGCTGGTGGCCCTGGAGAAGTCCAGCGAGCCTACACTGGCAGACAGCAGGGAGCCTGTGACAGAAGGGCGGGGCGGGGCATGCCCACAGCAGCCTCCTGGGAGGAGCGATCCCTGACCCCTTCCTTCTCGCCTTCCCCCACCTTGCTCCAGAGATGATCCAGGGCACCAGCGTGAGACACACGCCTTAGAAACACAAGGAACTCCTGAGTCATCCCCTGGGGAACACTGGGCTCTGGCACACAGAACCCCCACTGAGAGCAAGGGATGGGGGATGTGAGGACTGACTGGGGACTGTGGGGAACAAAGGGATCAGGGTCCAAGGCTCCTGGAGGTAGGAATGGTTGCGGGCCCAGATTTCTGGCTTGCAGTCCTGCCATGTACCTCTAGAGGGGCCCTCACCCGAATCTTCCTGTTTCTAGGAAGTTCTCCGAAGTGCCAGGCCTGCAGTACCTTCCCTGGCCCCTCAGCTCCAAACCACACTATATTCCTTCCTGTCCCACAGGCCTCTATCCTAGAAGCTTTCTGCTTTCACCCATTGCCACTAACTTGTTAGTATGTAATTCTTATTCCCAGATACTGTGCCCCAAAGTGAGGGGGAGCCCTGGCCTAGGGGAGAGGTGCTGGGGCCCTAGCAGGTACAGGTCATGTTCCTTTGCAACCAGCCTGGGTTCCAGCACCGACCTCATCACTGACTCAAACCCAGAGGCCCTCCCCTGTCACCAACCCCCCACGTAGCACAAGGTTTAACCAAAGGCCCAGACCCCCGAACCTGAAGTCCAGGCAGAAAGGGCTCTGCTGGGAAATAGCCCCTGCCCTCGCTCCCACCTGGCTATGACTAGAGCAGCTTGAACCACAGGGAATTTCCTCTGCCTCCCTCCCTTCCTGGCCCTCCGTGCTCACCACCGAACCCAAAGGCACCTCAAGCCTGCCCTGCCCCAACCAGTTCCTCAGACACCCTGAGGCTCAGATAACAGAGGGCGGGGTGAATGATGGGTAGGGCTGGAAGTAGATGTGACTCAGGAGATGCTGCCCACAGGCAGATGCAGGCAAGTTGCCAGGTGTGAAGGGAAGGGAAGGACGGTGAAGAGAAGGAAGCCTGAGGACAGAGGCCAGGGCAAGAGACCCAGCAGACGATGGAGGGGGGCCATGGGAGGACACAGTGGGGGTTTCAGTGGAAAGGCAGAACCTGCCAGGAAGAAGAGGGGCTTTGGGGTACTGAAGTGCACTCAGGTGTGTAGTTAAAAAGCCCATATCCTGGGAGGAGGTGGGAAAAAACGGGGAGGGAAGGACTGGAGGAGGAATGTTTAGGAGTTCTAGAGTCTGAAGTTATGGCCGCAAGGCCGGGCCGCCTCATTATAAAGGCAGTTTGGCCATGACCCACACAGCCAAGGGTGGAGCCCCGTGTGAACAGGGTAATGGAGACGGCGCTAGGCGGGGGAAAGCCCTCCGAGCAGCACTGCTACATGCTTAACCCCAGTCAGGTGCAGACCCAGGCCTGTCCCCACCATCCGTTGCCCAGCTCGGGCCCACCGCAGCCTGTGTGCTGCCATGGGGACCTTGGAGGCAGAAGAGCTCTTGGCCAGCAGGCCCCTTCACCCTGCACCCTTCAAGGCAGTGCAGGTGCAGCCCCCTTGCTCCCTACCTCCCCTCGATGACAGTGATGACATCATTCATCTGGATGTGCAGCTTGTCTGGTTCCTCAAAGTCCTGAAGGGCCCGCATGTCAGTGGGCTGGGCCTGAGGGTAGAGACAGGTGACTCCCCACTTTGGGGCTGACCCCTGCTTGGACCCCCCAGCCCCCGTGGGCAGACCTCCCCTTACCTCCAGCAGGAAGTCCCGCAGGGCCACAAAGGTGGGTCTGTCCTCTGGTTTGTGAGCCCAGCACTGGACCATGACATTATAGATATCTTGGGGGCAGTCCTCGGGCCGGGGAAGACGCTCCCCTTCCTTGTCAATCTTATGCAGGATCTGGAGGGTGAGTGCAGTTTGAAGACAAGCAGAGCACCCAGCTCTTCACTTCCCATCCTCCCTCCAGCCCACGGAACAACTGCAGCTTTGGGCTGCCATGCCCGCACCCAACAGAGGTCTGACTCTTCTGAGGGCAGGGCCTAGCCCCAGGCTTCAGACCTCTATCCCCGGGTCTGAGGCCTCCGGACAGGTGGCTGTGGCAAGAGCTGAGAATGGGAGCAAGCCCCACCCATCCTTCTCCTGACCACAGGAGGCCCTTCACTTGGCTTAGCTCTCTGAGGTCACACAGACATGGAGCCTAGGGGACAAGACTCTAGCAAACAAAAGCCAGTTCTGACAGGGTCAAGAAGGAAGCCAGTGATCAAATCAACCCCCACTCGCCCTATAAGGAGCACATCCCCAGTCCCTCACCTGGCTGCCATTAAGGCCAATCCAGGGCTCCTGGCCATAGGTGAACATCTCCCACAATGTTACCCCAAACATCCAGGTGTCGCTGGCATGGGAGAAGGTGCGTGTCTTCAGGCTCTCAGGGGCACACCTGGCAGAAGCGAGGGTCAAACAGAAGGCCTCTCAGAGCACCCCTACCCATCAGCCCCCAATGGACACAAAATGCTCATTCAACAAGCACGTTGTTGCCCCATGTGCCAGGCTCAACAGCAGGTACTAGGGACATGGTATGAAGGGGAAGGGTGGTTGTCTTGACGAGGGGGTACAGAGACTTGGAGAAAACCATCAATGCTCAGGTCTCTTACCCACATGCGGCCTGGAGTGGGAAGAGGGTAAAGGTGCCAGGTCAGGAAAGCAGGGAAAGGAAGAATGTCAGAGGCTCTAGGATGGGTGAAGGGAGAGGGATAGAGCTCAGGCTGTTTTCTAACTGAGGTGGGAGGATGACAATTTCCAGATTTTGGGAAGGGTCCTAGCATTTGGGTCATTTCAGCAGGAAGGTGTGGGTGGGAAATTTGGATACGACCTGGGAAAGAACCAAAATGGGTGCAGTTACACTGGCTTTATCCAAATATCCACACACTCCCTTTTGGATGAGAAGGACAAATGAGACTGCAGTGAAGCTGGCAAAGAAGTATTCCAGTGGGCTGAGGCACAGAGTGAGGAGGGAGCCACTCTGTGTGAAGAATCAAAGGATGTCTCAGGGGTATGGAGCTGGCCCTGCCACTCAAAGAGGGTGCAGTCCAGAGAAAGTCACTCAAGATCTCTAAGTCTCATATTCCTCATCTATGAAATGAAAATAGTAATAAAAACCTGCCTACTTCACAGAGTTGTTTGAAGGGGGCTACATAAAAACCGGTGACCTTATAATTTACCATCCGAACCAAGACGCTCGATTATGAAAGGGGGTGCTATTAATTATTCCAGGACGACAGGCATAATCCAGGATGTCTGGTCCCCTAGGTATAAAGTCTCTTACTCAGAAGGGTGACCAGACATCCTGGATTGGGAGGGTTTTTCTGGCAAGCTGAACTGGACTGACTCCTTACTCCCTGACCATACTCTTTTGGGTGCCTTCGTTACCAGAGAACCACTTCATGCTCAAACTTTCCTGCTCATAGCCGACAAAGTCCAGCCTGGTCTGGCCCTGCCTGCCACCAGCTCTACCTGAAGCATGCTTGCCAACCAGTCTTTGCCTGGCTAACTTCTGATATTTCAAGAGCTTAATATTGAGTCGTCCAGGAAGCCTTCGTGAGACCCCACATGCACTTATCCCTGTGTATTCTAGTGCCTGGCACATGAGAATCCCTGGAGGAACGAGTGAATGGGCACACAAGACAGGCACCCCAGCTCCAGAAGAGACAAGGGCTGCTGTGGGTATAAGGGCCTCAAATACTCTGAGGCTAGGCGTGCAGGGGGACCATGGTGGGGCAGGGTGGGGTCCAGGCCCTGTGAGCTGGCAGCACCTGCCCCTCACCAGGCAAAGGGCACCTTGCGATGCTCCTGCATGACGTAGTGGTCATCATTCTGGGGTAGTGCTCGCATTAGCCCGAAGTCTCCAATCTTGACCAGGTCACGGGTGGCCAAGAGCAGATTGCGCGCAGCCAGGTCACGATGAATAAAGCGCTTGGACTCCAGGTAGCCCATGCCCTCAGCCACCTGCACAGCATAGCGACTTAGAGTCCCCAGAAGGAAGTGGCCCTGGTGCTTGCGAAGCCGGTCCAACAGTGATCCCAAAGGAGCCAGCTCTGTGACCTGGGGCCGTGGAGGAGGTGGGAGGAATTAGCACGCCTGAGCCCTGCCCCTCCCTTGGCACCCCATGCTGGCCTCCCAGTCCTCTCCTAAAGGCCTGCCAGAGTCAAGCTCAATGCTCCTTCCTGGCCTTTCCTTTGGGGCCCTCCACGAGTTCTACAGCTTCCCTCAAAGCACTGTGAAAAACTGAGGCCCAGAGAGGCAAGCCAGAGAGGCTCACGTTAGAAATTCTAAGCATTAAACTCTAGGACCAGCTCCTCCCATAGGTGTAACTCTGACGATGAATACAAACAAAATGCAGAGATGGACATGGGCTCCGCTGAACCCAGTCAGTACCGGGATAGGCCCCAGTGAGCTCCTTTGCCACATCACGTCATGGACCAAAGCAGGATCTGGAGGACCTCTGACCTTCGTCAGGATGAAGGGAGTTACGACAGCACACGCAGGAGAGGAGGTGGACCTGGGTCCCAGAGACTGCAGGCCCCTCCCATGTACAATACTCACCATCTTCATGGGTGGCGTGAGCACCACACCATAGAGGCGAATGAGGTTCCGGTGGTCGAGTGAGTGCATGGCGTTGACCTCCCGGATGAAGTCGTCCATGGCCTCTGGCTGGCTCAGCACATCTGGCTTCAGGCACTTCACAGCCACACTCACCTGCCCAGAATGGAGACTGTCGGGAGTCAGGACAGGCCCCAGCCCCTAACACTCTGAACCAACCTGCTCGTCCCTCCAACTCAGCTCAAACATTCCAGCTTCAGATCTGCTATCTGGGCGGGTGAGCACATCACAGGTTCCCTGGCCTGGCTGGGGAAGGGCACCTGGTGACCCCCAGAGGCCATTAGTTGGGCCTCCCCTTCCTGGGGGAATGCCCAGGTTAAGTAATGACCATTAGGTAAGAGATGACCGACCAGTATGATGATAGGATATTAAAATGTTATAAAATGAAATGTTAAAAATAGTTTTGGTGTAGAAGAAAAATGCTTTAAATATAATGCCAAAACACTGATTTATGGTGACAGAAGTCAGGATAGTGGGCTTCCCTGGAGGAAGGGGACACTCAGCGGAGAGACAGGAGAGAGGTTCTGACACGCTGGAAACGCTCTGCATCATGATCTGGGTGTCACTACCTGGGTCCACGCATGTGTGAAAATTTACTAAGCTGTGTTCTAAAGAACGGCATGTTTTACTGGATATATGCTGCTGATTCTTCTGGGGAAAAATTTTAAATACAATACCGAGAGAAAGGGCAAGATTTTAAAAGCTGTATCTAAAATTTGTATCTTAACTAAATTCAACAAAATACCTACCTGGAAGGGAAAAAGGCAGAAATGCTAATAACTCGGCTTCCTCTGTGATGAGATTACATGCATTTTGCCCCCGCTTGTTTGTAAGTAAATTCTTTGTAAAATTTAAACAAGAAACAGATGTGTCTAGTTAAACCTGAGTGTAGAATCCAGGGCAAGCCACTCTGAGACTTGTGCCGGCCCCCTTCACATCCTATCCAAGGGGACAGATCCATCTCAGAGGGCAGAGTGGGACCTCTGCCAGAGTCTCTCAAGGGCCTGTCCCTTTGCCACACCATACAGGACCCAGAAAGCTCACCGTCTTCCCCGAGGGGGCGTCCCACTCGCCCCTGCGCACCACGCCAAAGGAGCCATCTCCAAGCTTCTCGAAGAGATGTAGGTCCTTTTCCCCAATGAGGCAGGTGAGACTCTGCAGGGGCCCTTCCCCTGCTGGGCCACCAGGGGTGGGTGAGGTCTTCCGGAAGGTGCTCTGAGAGTGATGGAGGGGGAACTCAACCTCCAGCCGCTTTCCACTGAACACCTGTTTGAAGGCAGCCAGGAGCCAGATGGAAAACCCTGAGGCCCCAGAGGCAATCACTCTATCCTGTCCCGGTGGGTCCTCACACAGGCCTCCAGGTAAGTCCCGACTTTGCCAAACGTCCAAGGGGCAGCCTGGCTGGAGGGCCATCCCCCCTCCTAACACACTCCCAAACAGGAACCCAGAGCCTCAGTGTGGCCTTAGGGTGTGCACCAGAAATGGACTGACAGGCATGTGGCCTGTGGCTACTGCGGCCCCTCACCTAGCTGTGGGGTCTGGGACAGCCCGAAGCCATTCTAGGCACTACCTTCTGCCTCACCTATCCCTTCCTGCACACCCTCTCCTACCCAGAACAGACTGCAGCCCTAACCAGAGCACATGGGTAGGAGCCTAAGGGGCCTGCCACAAACACCTCTCTGTCCATTTTTAGCCTTGGCCCCTTCTCTGGACTGCCCACTTGGCGCTGTCTGTCTCCACCCTCCCCAGGGAGCCGGCTGCCCTTCATCCTGCCAGGGGAAAGGATAATTTGAGCCTGAGGTTAGACTGTGAGTGAGTGGGGTGCAGATGAAGCAAGGCCTTGCTGGGGAAGGGCCTGGGAAGACAGCTGGGTTTCTGGAGGAGCGCCTAGAGCTGAGGGCGGAGAAAGAAGGGAGACTGGAAAGACCTCTGCACCCTGGGCTGGAGAGGGAAGGGGATGAAGGCAAGGGGGCAGGAGGAAGCAAGTCCTGAAGGTCAGAGCTGGCCCGTCAGTTTGACGTGGCCACCCCTACTAGGGCATCCAAAGCCTTGGCTTCACACTGCAGAGCCTGCCCAGCTGGGCCCCTGCCCCCAAGGCTGGCAGGGCCTTATCTGTACAGACAGTCTCCAATCTAAGGGCCTCTTCTGGCCGCTGTTCTGTCCTTTCTCCCAGTAACTGGAATCCCTTACGTCTGCAAACAATGTTCAGCCCGGTGAGGTGAGGTGAGCCAGGCAAGTGTTGCCAGCGCTGTCTTACTGAAGACATGCCTCAAGTTTGGAGAGGTTCACTGACGGGCCCAGGAACCTCCTGCGAATCCATGGTGGATCCAAGAACTGTGAAACCCTGGCACACTGCATAGCTCTTCCCTTCTGCTTTCACTCGCCCCAACACGCTCATCCTTCCCTAAAACCTGGGCAAAGGACCAGGACAGCGTCCCCAGAAAAGGCCACAGGGTCCCAAGAGACAGCCCCATTGCCAGATGGCAGCCAGGAAATCTCTGCTGCCCAATCCCAGTCCAGTTGTTCTGCCCTGCCCACCCCCCCCACCTCAGCCCTGAGGCCAGAAGTGGGGAGGGAAGACCCTGACTGGTTCATTTCCTCCCATATTGCCTTCCAGACAATGGGCAAAGTTCCACTGAATCAGACCAGGGACACACCACTCGACAGACCCAAATTGGAACAAAGCAGGGGGTGGGAATGGCAGGGGCAGGGGGCTGGAGGGGGCTGTGGGGAAGGAAGATGTCAGCAAGGCCAGTTGAACAGAGCAGCCCTCCACAGACCAAGGAGGGTGGGGGAGAACGGAAGCAAAGCAAAGATGTCCTAGGTCCAGAGAGCCCCACCCCACGCTGGACACCGGCCTTAACACTCAGAACAAGGGCTCAAGTTACGGCATACTGTTCCACACCCAGCATCACTGCAAAGCGAGAGGGAAGTGAAGCCACGGTTGCACACAGGCTACTTACATGCTGTCTCTACCGGAGACAGACACTTAGCCAGGCAGCTCTACAAGTACTCTAACTGATAAGACCCTGGAGGAAGGAGGTCCGCACAAAGTGTGAGATTATACTGCCCGAGAATGGGGGAACTTCCTAGGACTAACATCAGAGTGGGATCCCGTGAGGCTGCCCTAGCCCATCTCATTCCTTGTCCACCCACCTTGCTCATCCAGGACTTTCGCTTGCACATGGCCTTTCTCCTCTTCACAGCCTCCCACAGCCGCCGCTGGCCTGCAGAAGGGACAGAGAACCCAGTGCTGTTAAGGCTCACACCCCTCAGAGAGGCTGCTGCCTACCTGCAGGCTTCCTTGGTCTCCTGGGGCGGGCCCACCACTAGATACTGCCCAGCACAATGACACCAAAGAAACAAACCATCCCAACCAATCAGGGGCTGCAAATGAATCAGACGATCACTGCATTCCATGTCTAAGCAGTGGTTCTTGAACTGGATGGAAGCGTTTGATCACCAAAATTGAACAGTAGTTCTCTGTTCCCAACTCTCAGGAATCAAAGAAATTAAGGTAATAGAATTTCCTAATTTTGAGTTTTTCTCCCATAAAATTTAACATTACTGGCATCAGACACCAACTATCCAGACCAAAAGTAGCATAAGTCCATGTCTAATTTAGCACATTATTATTTATTTAGCTGCTTTAAGTTGAATTCAGGAATAAGTTTCTAGATTCTATATGGAACACCAGGAGTTTTAGGTGCTGCAACCACTATTTTTTAGGATCAATACATAGAAAAGAAATGCGTTCAACTGATAGGGCAGATATTTGTGAGAGAGAAAGACAAAGAAAGAAACAGTAACAGAAAATCAGCAAAGCGTCTGAGGTTTTTTATCTTCCCTTCCTCATATACTCTGACCACTGAAACCTTGGTGACTAGACCAGACTCAATTCTACATGTACAAAGGAGGAGAAGATGGGGAAAACACATCCTACAAATGTCTGAACAAACAAAAAAGGTAGTAGTTAGTCCTAAGTAGTCAGAGCTTTAAGTAAGACTCCTCGAAGTCCAATTCACCTTTACAAGTGCACACTGTTCTCATGCACTCACTGTGTGTGGCATCTACTGAGGCCCCTCCACCCCACCTCAGGGGTTCTTGGACAGGCAGGGAGAGTTCTCAGCTATGCCACCCCATGGAATAAAGGGGGGAGGACTCTTCCAAGTGGTCGGAGACCCTGAGGACAGAGAAGGTAAATGGTCAGTGGGGAAACAAGGTGCAAGGCCAACGTCCCCACCTACCAGGCCGGCCCATGCCAATCTTCTCCAGGTCCTCATTCTTGACATACTCAAAGTGGGACAGGCGGGTAACATTGAGGTCGTCACGGAGCCGCAGGAAGTACTGTTGCAGCTGCACCTCAGACAGCAGCTCCAGCAGCCAGCCTGTGCCTTCCTCTGGCTGCATACTGCTGCTCCCCAGCCTCTGTGGGGAGGGAAGAATGAATCAGGGACCAAGGTATGCAAGGAGGTAACAGGGGACCCTGTCCACGTGCCCCGGGCTCACCCACATTCTAATATGCTGCTTCCGGGAAAGACTCACATCACCTTCTTGCTGTTCAATACAGCTGTACAGAATAGCCTGTACCCACCTGCCCCCTTTCCTGCCAGCAACAAGAGTTGAATTAGGACAGTTGGGATATGGCCCAGATGCCGAAGTCAGGGTCTTATTCCCAAAATCCATGGCCCAGTGACCCGAGATCAACCTCTAGTGTTCTCAGGTTTCCTGTCGGCTCAGACTCCCTTGGGGTAACAAGCCCTTTGAGAGCTGATGAAAACTATTGATTTGTGTCTCCAGAAGAAATACACATTCTTAATCATAAAGTTTCAATATAAAATATTGGGGGTTACAGTGTCCCTTGAGACCCACCCACGGGGCTCCTCAGACCTGATGGACCCCCAAGAACTCAGCCCTAGATGAGTCCTCCCAATGCCTGACATAGCCAGAGCCTCTCCCTCCCCAGTCAAAGACCTCTCCAAGTGCCTCCGGGACCACAGTGAGTGGAAGAGGGAAGGGGAGAGGCTGAGGTGGCTTTCAGACCCAGCTCAAAGAGGCAACACTGTTCAGCTCCTGTCAACGGTTATCACAGCAGACTATGGCCCAGTGTTGTCAAAGTTTTCAATTTTTTCAAGAACTACTGGCAATCTGAATCTATAGGTGTAATCTTGCCACTAAAATTGTTTTGAAAATATATGCACATGGTAAAATATTCAAAAGGCACACAGAAGCCATAAAGTCTGATTCCCTCCCCTACTTTATAGCCACCTAGCTCCCCATCCCCAAAGCCAGACACCATTAATGACTTAGGCATCCTTCCAGGCTTTGTATTTTTCCTCACAGAAATATTCACTCATTATCCATACCATTCTGATCCTTGTTTTCATTTCATATTATCTGACTTTTTAACTAGGTCAACTGACTGATGTTTCTCTCTCTCTCTCTCTCTCTCTCTCTCTCTCTCTCTCTCTCACACACACACACACACACACACACACACACACACACTGCCCCCCCACCTCACTTCAGTGTTGGCCAAACAACTGACTGATGTTTGAAACACACACACACACACACACACACCCCCGCCCGACCCCCCCACCACCTCACTTCAGTGTTGGCCAAACAACACATGTATGTACAGGCCAGTCAGCCAAAGGACCACCAGTGAGTGAGCTCTGACTTACACTTTCTTGGGCCCAGAGAGAGAGGCCAGTGGCATCCTCAAAGCTAAGCAACCTGGCCCATGGGACACCAAACCCATCCCAGTCTAAGTAAAATACCTCAGAGCTGAGGGTTCCGTCTAGCCAGCCTGTGACTCTTGTTCAGACCCCATGGATGAAGCAGGCAAGAGGGAAAAGTCCAGCTGCCCGAGACCTCCTCCTCCCCAACTCAGAGGTGGCCTTGTCCCCCAGCTCTCATCACAGATTATACTGAGAAGCAAGAGCTTGTAGCCCAGGCCTAGCGTGAGCCTCCTGCACCGTTTCCAGAGGTTCTGCCAGCCCAACGCCAGGAGCTCAGGCTTTCCCAGGCAGCTCACAGCAGTACAAAGAGCAACAAGCAGGAACTAGAGAACCTCAGTTCAAACCCTGGCTCTCCTACCAAGGTGGCTGGGCCAGAGGAGATTTCCAAACTTTAAGCTGTAACCCTTTACCCAGATGGTGCTCACAAAGGCTGTACAGCCCCCTAGGGGATATTTTTGGTTGTCACAATGTTGGGGGACCACTAGCGGCCTTCAGTGGGTAGTTGGGAGACAGGAACGTGAGTTACCCTGTAATGTGCAGGGCAGTCTCACACACTGTCCCAAATCCCATACAACTTAATTCATGCAGGTGAAAAATTTGTTTATAATCATTAGAATCTAGAACTGAATTCCAATTTACATTCTTTTTTAATCCTCACCCAAGGATATGCTTACCGGTTTTAGAGAGAGAAAAGGGAGGGAGGGAGGGAGGGAGGGAGGGAGGGGGAGAGAGAGAAACATCAATGTGAGAAATATCGATCAACTGCCTCCCCTACATGCCCCAACTAGGGATTGACCTCGTAACCTAGGTATGTACTCCGACCAGGAATCAAACCCGCAACCATTTGGCGCACAGGAGGATGCTCCATCCAACTGAGCCACCCAGCCAGGGCCTATTTTACCTTTGAACAAGAAAGTATTTTTTCAGTTTTAAAACATACCACATTTTCTTGGAATGGAACTACTGTGTAAACTGAGGGAAAACTGGCCTTTGTTTTTGGTCAGAATTTAGCAAAAGTTGTTCACTATTCAAAAGAATGTCACTGAAGGCAACCCATCCTTACTTTTTCAAAACTCCCCTCTCAGTACTTGCATATGTTGCTTTCATGGTGGTTCTCCATTAGATTTTAGTGTCTACTTCACTATGTCAGAGTGCACTGACATTAGAATACATGAAGTGATATAATTACTTTCCTTTTATTCCTCTTTTATATTACAGGTAGCATTATGTTTGTTAACTGGCTGATTACACACCCATGGGCATGGCAAACAGCTTCTATTTCTATTCATTTTTAAGAAGAATAACAATAAAAAAATAACTCTAACACTTCAACTACACTTACTGTATGCTGGGCACAGTGGTAAGCATGTAGCTGTATTAATTCACTTATCCTCAACAAAACCATCTGTTACAAACAAGCGGGCGTGGGCTTAAGAGAGCAGGGCACCACTGCCTTCCAGAAGAAAACCCCGAAGGTGCCCTGTGAGCATCCCTGACCTCAGCGCTGCCTCTCCATGGCCTGGCCCAGGGTGACAGGGCCAGCACTTCCACAGTCACTACCCTGTTCCTGGAACAAAGCGATCCCACCTTCGACACGGTTCAGCCCTCAGATGGGGCTTTGCCACCAGGGCAGGCGGTCTGGAAGTCCAGTCCTCTCCTTCCCCGGTCCCCAAATTCCAGAGCCCCAGGCTCCCCCCCATTCCTACCCTCCTCTGGGGCAAGAGGCAGCCACTCCTGAGAACAGGTCAAAGCCATGTCCTGCTGGTCAGAGCTAAGGAGGACCCCAACACCCCTCCTCTGAAAGGCACAGTCTAACCTGTTCCTTTTCCCTGAAACACCAGCTAACAAATCTCCCGGGCTCAGCTGGACACTCTCCTCCCTGCTCCCCAACCCCAGGCAACAGGGCTGCTCTGCGTAGGGGCAGGTGTGGGAAGACTGAGGACTGCCGGTGAGAAGAGAGCAGGCAGGGTCCCAGTTATGCCTCTACCGCCAAGCCAAGGGCGACCCTGGCCAAGCCACCTCCCCATCCCTACCTGCCACCTCCACCCCAAGTTTCTTTGTGAAGAACAGAGCACTGCTGCAGCTGAGCCCCACTCAGTCACTAGTTCGGCATGTGCCCAGACCCCAGCAGAGCCCAGAGCCCACCCATCTGTGTTGGACACATATATCTCTCACGGCTGCATGCACACTTTTAAAATACACTTTTCTAACACTTGCCAACAAGAATGCAGCAGCTGGAGGGGAGAGGCCACGCGGGCCCAGACCCCCTGTCCGACCCTCCCTGGAGGTGTCCCTCAGCCATCCCAGTCCTGCTCCCTGCCCCTCAGTAAAGCACTGGCTCTGAGGAGCTGATCCAGTCTCCAGTCAGTCGCCACGGCTCCTCCCCGGCCCCAGCCAAGGCCCCTCCACCCCTCACTCACTGTGTATAGTCTTCGCCGTAATCTGGCCAGGAGAGGAAAGGAGAGCTCTAAGCCAGGGAACCGACGAGCTGTTGGCATCTCCACGGAGCTGGACCCCCTGACTGGGTCACTGGGACTCTGGCTTGAGAAGTGGGGAGCAGGGGCCTCAGATCCTGAATTTCAGGTTCGGCCCAGAAGGGAAGTTGGCCAGACGTCTGTCCCAGGAGCCCCCAGAACCTCACACCAGGGGTGGAAATGGGGCAGAACAACAGGGTGGCTCTCTTTCCCCTGCTGCACAGCTGTTTCTACAGCTGGCTAGTCTGGCAAAGAGCAGGTTCGCTCTTCTCCTGACTGTCTGCAGGGTCCTCTGTCCTGTTTCTCTGCCTTCTCTCCAGTGCAGTGGTCACAGCTCCAGTCCTACTCCCGGGCTCCCCCACACGACTGCCCTCCCTCCCTCTCTCCTCCCTCTCTCCCCAGCTAAGCAGCTCTGACACTGGCTGAAAAAGGACCTCTCTGAATCACTGCCAAGAGGGCGGCGGGAATGGGGGGACTCTTCCTCTCAGCCACCCGCACCGGCCCCCCTGCCTCCCCATACACAAGGCCCCCTGTCTCTGGCTTCCACCCCAGCCCCCACAGTTGCAGACAACTCCTGGGGTTTTCGGGTGGGGGCTATGTGAATCAAGCAGCAATGTACAAAGAATGGTTGCAGGCCCCTACATAGGCTTATCTGAGGCTTGGGAACTAGTACACAGTCTGAGTTACAAGCTAGGACCCCTGAGTCATTCCTAGACTCCGCAGGAGACCCTTTGGAGACCCTCCCCCATCTCCCAGTCCCAACCTTGGCTGGGTGTCTCCTGGCTCAGGCCCTAATGTGGCCCTGTTACCCTGGTGCCCGACGGAAATAGGAGGCCGGCAGCCTGCCAGAGTGGGGCAGTCCAGCCAAGACCGAGAGGGGGTGGAAAGGGTAAGGAATCTCCACCCCCTCCCCTGGGGTTGCCTTGTCTGCTGCCCACAACACCCAGGGTGCCTCCTCCCAGACCAGCTGGCCAAGATCCAAAGCCTCTCAAAACAAATATGCATCTAGACGCTGCTGGGATTTCCCCCACCCCAAAACTGTGATTCCAGGCTATAGGATGTCTCTTGTGTAGCACCCCCATATGCAGACAACAGTCCCAGCTAAAGGGAACTGGAGACACTCCATCAAGCCCCTGTGGGCCCCCCACGTTCCTAGAGCTGACAAATGATCCCTCTGCCCCTCCTCAAGGGCGCCAGCTGCTTTTACACT